CTTCCCTGTGCCTGAGGTCCTTGACCTGTTTTTAACTCGCCACCGACCTCACCCAGCTCCATTTCTACTCTGCCTCCAGCATCCTCACTTTTCTCACCCTTTCAACAACTGGTTCTCTTCACCACACGGTGCAGAGCCCATGTGGCTTAGTTGGTCTGCCTTGTCAAAGCACTTTCTACACTTTGTGTCATTTACAGATTTGTTTCTGTCTAACCTTCATACTCTGATGGCTGCACCAGAGAGCAACTTGGGGTTAGTATCATGCCCGTATTTGGCATGCAGACTGGAGCAGCCAGGGATCGAACCGCCAACCTTCGGATCAGTAGATGAACTGAACTACCACCAGAGACTGAAACACTGACACCGATAAGCTTGTTTGCTTCTGGATTGAGTGTCATAGGTCACATCAGTGAAGCTGAAGCTGACATTCCTTTTGTAATTTCATCCCTGTTTCGCAATATTACTTTCCCATCACTACTCCAATAGTTTACATTGTACTTACTGTGCAGCCACAGCAAGATTATTATGAACCAACCAACAGATTATTCATTTACCTGCATGCCTTAAAATTGTATGATTTAGCTGATCATTGCTATGATAATATACAAAGTGCAAAATGTATTCAGAGGTTGTTTGAAATTCAATAGACATAAGAAAAGGTGAGTTCAAAAAGCAGGGGTCATATATTTAAAAAAGAGGGAATCTTCTGGAATAGTGACGACAATGTATGTAAAAGTTAAAAAATGATTGTCAATGTTTGAGGCAAATCAATACAAAATGGAGATATTTTCTCATATATTTCAGTTCTTCTCTCTATTTAATATTTATTCTTAATTAATAATTTTCTTTGGTCTTTGTTTTAGTGAAATCTCGTTAGATTGTTATTGCCATACGCTTTCAGTCACTGATATGTGTTTTATCCCCTTTTAATTCAGTTGTTTGTTTTTCTTGTTGTCATTTTCAAAAACAAAATAAACAAAAAACAAGAAAATGTTAAAAATGACCAAAAGGAAAAAAGAAAATTAACTGTAGAAGACGTGGATGGAGAAATCAAAAGGATAAAACCAGAACAAAGGTTTGAGTAACCGAGGCCTTCAAATATCTGGCATTTAATATGTGGAAGGAATTTACATGTCTTCAGTATTTGTGTTGGGATCTAAGATGTGGAATTCTAACATTGTCGGTTATTTAACCTACAATATAAAAGCCCCTTGAGGTGACTGTTGTCAGTACTATATCAATAAAAACGTCTGTCTTTGGTGAGTTGATGCAACTGGAAAGCTCTAAACTAGCATCCATTTCAATACAACAGATATGATGATATGTTCATGCTGGTTTAAATGGGAAACTGAGGATCTCGCGTTTTTAGAAGATACTGTGGCAAAGAAGCCATGATGATGATGATGAGGTTCAACTGGTCACAAAAAGAAATGTTAGTCTTTCTCACATTGCAGGTCATGGAGCTGAGGCACAGGGAAACAAGGAGTTACGGAAAAAGGTCGAATAACACGAAGACCCTGAGAGCGGCCAGAAGGAGCCATTGTGTCCGTTCAATGGGTGAACTGGACAATGGAACTGGAGAGCTAAGCTGAGATGGATGCTGCAGGTCACGATTAGCTGATGAGTCTCAGGTGTACAGGTGAGTTGGCTGAAGGAGCAGAAAAGGAGCACCACACCCAGACTGACACAAAGTGCACCAGCAACAAGAGACACGAGGGGGAAACAGGGGAAACGTCAATTTCCTTTTCTTAATCACACCAAACGTTGATGTGCGTTACTAATAAAATCTGTTTGCTCAGTTCCTGTGTCATCTGTTGTTTTACCCCATCACAAAACAAATAAATAACTAAGTGTGTACGTGTACATGTTCAGGTCTGTGGGTCCTGATTGAATAAAGAGCACATCCTGGTAGAAGAGGATATTCATGAACCTGGAAACCTGTGAACTGTGTCTGTTAATGACTTATGAATGTTATT